TATGCATCTCATTTGTCGCAGGTCATAACAGCAAAAAGGGTGCTCTACTAAGTTTTAAAGAAGCTTGCCATATAGGGCTGAATCATTTTTAAACCTGGGAAGTCATTATAAGTTGCATTATCAGTTGAATCTGGGAAAACCACTTGAAGCATTTGTTGTGTTGAGCTATTTCCATTACTTATGTTTGATTTGTTCATTACAAACGACTGAAAGTCTGTAAATTTTGACAATTGACCTGATTTTTAATGATGGGTTGAAACATTTTGATTACAATTGTAAGTGCAGTCTGTGGAAGAGAAATTTTATTTATGCATTCGAGCAACGCTGTATTTAGCATGAGGCTGACAAGGCATTTGCCTTTGGCGGCACTTTCAGGGGTGGCAACAACGCCGCCCCCACAAATACCCTGCTGATGTCTTGTAAACATCTTGTCCTGGGAGGCCCAAGAAGTGGCCTGCTGGACACCTTGGGCCTCCATGAGGCCGGCATCTGTTCTGTTTGTGTTCGGACGGTGAGGGAACACTCTCCCCTAAGCTCTCCCTGCTCTGCTTGCTTGCGTGCACCGCAGTGATGGCGGAATATGATGACATTCCGGCTCCGGTATCACTAAGCGGTGTGCGAGGGTTCAGAGCAGGGAGATAAGAGCTCCCTCGCCACCTGCACTGACCATCCACACTCCCAGCCGCCAAGCACCATAGGAACAAGCCCAGCAGTCCCACTGGACCCCAGGGAAATCGAAAATCCACGCCAGCACTCCCAAAGGTAGGGAGGCTGGGTGGATTGACATTTAAAAAAATATATAAATTGTGAGTGTGTTAGTATCAGTGTGTGTGTGTGTTTCTGTCTGTGACTGTGTATACATGTGTGTCTGTGTGTGTGTGTGTGTGTGTGCATCACTGAGTGTGCGTATGTCAGTGTATGTGTGTCTGACTCTGATTGGGTGTGTGTCTGTCAGTGAGACTGTATATGTGTCTGTCAGTGAGTGTGTCTGTCACTGTGAGTGTGTGTCTGCCTGTGTGTGTTTATGTATGTCTGTCAGTGAATGTGTGTGTCTGTCACTGAGTGTATGTGTCCGTCAGTAAATGTGTATGTGTTTGTCTGTCAGTGAATGTTTATCTGTTTCTGTCAGGGAGTGTACATGTGTGTCAGTCGGTGAATGTCTGTCTGTCACTGAGTGTGTGTCTGTCAATGAATTTGCATGTGTGTGTCTGTCAGTTAGTGTCTGTGTCTGTCAGTGAATGTGTATCGGTGTTTGTCAGGGAGTGTGCATGTGTGTCTGTCACTGAGTGTGTATGTGTGTCTGTCAGTGAGTGTATGTGTGTCTCTCAGTGTGTGTGTCTGACTCTGATTGGGTGTGTGTGTGTCTGTCTGTCAATGAGAGTGTATATGTGTGTTTCAGTGAGTGTGTCTCTCAGTGAGAGTATATGTCTGCCAGTAAATGTGTATGTACATCTGTCAGTGAATCTATATGTCTGTCAGTGTGTGTATCCATCAGTGAATGTGTGTTTCTGCTGGTGAGTGTGTGTCTGTCACTGAGTGTGTGTGTGTCCATCAGTGAATGTGTATGTGTGTGTCTGTCAGTGTGTGTGTCTGTCAGTGTGTGTGCATTTGTGCGTGTGTGTCGGGGGTGCCCGAGTTTCGTCATGCCTAAGGCAGCACAAAATCAAAATACACCACTACATTCAAGCATTCAGGGATGGGTGAGGAAGGATGGATCAAATGTTAACCAATATAAACCTTGAGATATTTTTTTGTAAGCTTCTGTATAAGTAACAACTGAACATGTATTATTTGGTTCAGGTGCAGAAAATATTTTTATATTCTGTTGTGCCATTGGGTTTCTTTCCAATACTCATAAAGTAGGTACGCATCTTTTGTCTATTTTTGTCATACCTACTGTATTTAAAACATTGTAGCAATTTGTAATCTCGAATACGCAACTGTAAGATTTTCAATCTCATTATAAATTATGGAAATGTGTATCGCATGTATATAGTTTCATTAAAAACCATAAAATATATTATATATATGTCAGCGACAGTTTGCTGCCTCAACAGATTTTATTTAGATTGTTTCACCCTGCTAGCTTTCGAGTGTATTTTACTGAATTATAAAACAAACTGTCTAACTACGGAACACACATATTTAAAATATATTACGTTCAAATTGTCAGTCAATTGTGATGAAATACACTTTCTTCAATTTTGATATATTTTTTGTTTCATCGTGTTTAATTTCTATGTGTAATTGTTCCTGTTTCAGGAAAAATATTGGATTAATCTAAAATTTTCTAAATTAACTATATTCACAGTAGATCTGTATTTTCCAGTACAAGAAATGTATTTCTGTTTAGTAGGTTTATAATCTATCTCACATAAGATAGGCAAATGTATTACATTGATTAAATGACTATGGAATATATCCTGTGCTTAAGGGACCCCCAGCATCATAATCACTACAGCATACTGTAGTAGTTATGGTGCCAGGAATGCCACAGCACATATCGCATAGTAGTTAAGTGGTGATGGTACTAAGAGTAACCCTTTAGAGGGACACTATAAGCACGGTCACTGTTTTCATCTCTTAGTGGCTAGTGTTTGAATGTCGTCATCCTTGTATACAACATTAACAGTTTTTAATATTTTTAAGCTCAACTTCCCCATTCCTCTGTCCTGCTTTGGCTAATGAGCAAGCATTATCTTGAGCTGCAATGGGCAGCAGTGATTGGCTGAAGCTATCTCTGCATGATTCTAGCATCTGTTCACAGTACGAGAATATCTAATGATGCGTATGCACTGGGCTGCCCTTAAGACAGTACATTGGTGTCTCCGGATATTGGACACTCTGGAACAAACTTAGGACTGCAGGAAAGTACCCCAAAATCAGGACCGTTCCACCGATATCAAGACTGATGGGAGGCCTACAGATGGTTTACATTTTTTAAATGTATATATTTTTTATCCACAATCTATGCAAAATATTTATAAAACAAATGGATCTAAGTTTTCCTTGGCTGCGTACCACGGAGCTTTCCGAGTGCAAGTGTGCAGAATGTACATTTACTAAGATAGGACTCCTTGTGCTCCAACAGCCTAAACACCGTTTTTTAATGGAAGCTGCAGTCTTTTCAACCCAACACAATGAAGACAATTAACCTACTCGTATCATAAAAAAGCTGCACACCATCATTTTCTAACCTACGAAGAATAAAGATGATTTCGCTACACCCTGCTTCCTCTTTTTAATTATTCCAAGCTTGACACTGATCCTTAACAATGCATCGTATAATAGCGTGAACCTCCAACAATTTACCACCTGAGGATAAGCTGCAAGGTAAGTGGCCCATACTTTCTGGGGTCATGGATAAAGCATGAATAAAGAGTAGGACATACAAGCTGATCTACTCTGGCAGGCATTCACAACCTGTTGGTCTATATCACAAGCAAGCATGTATTTTCTTTGCAGTAGTTTCTTTAGCCCAGGGACAGTCTAATCTCTAAGACATATTTTGGAACCTGGCAGGGTTACTTACTAACGTGAAAATTGGCAGGAATTCAAATTGAATTTCAAGCTTAAGGTCAAAGTAGCTGAACTGGAAGCATAGCTGACTTAGATAATTTGTTCAGTTTGTCTATTTTGGCCTTAAAGGAGTACTATAGAGTCAGGAACACAAAAATGCGTTCCTGATCCTATATTGTTAAAACCACGATCTAGCCCCCCTGACAACCCTTGCAATCCTAAAATATAGCAAAATCTTACCTTTATTTAAGTCTGCAGCTGCTGCCTCTGCCCCTGACCTGCCTCCTTGTCTAACATGAGAAGTGAAAAGAAACCATAGGATTGGCTGAGCTTGTCAAGGAGGCAGAACAGGGCAGACCCAGCAAGAGCCAAACACAGCCTAGGCCAATCAGCATCTGCTCATTGAGATGCATTGAATAAATGCAACTCTATGAGGAAAGTTCAGTGTCTCCATGCCGAGGGAGGAGTCACTGAATGTAAGTGCTGCACAGTGTGCATCACTGTCCCAGGAAACACATCTAGCATCCATCAGAGGAGTGGCCCCAGGAGGTATTCCTATGCTGTAATAATGTAAGCATTGCCTTTTCTGGAAAGACAGTGTTTACTGCAAAAATCCTGAATGGAATGATTCTACTCACCAGAACAAAAAAAAGTTAGCTATAGTTGTTCTGGTGACTACTGTGTCCCCTTAATTTTGAAACTCACTTTGAATTGCAGACAATTCTCACTTTAGTAAATAACCTTTAGAGGAAACTTTATTTTTAAACTGTGTATGATTCATAAGATACTGTATTACCTTTCACATATCATTTCAGACCAATATGACACTGGGATAGGTTTAATGAGAGTGTTTTAAAAAATTTAATTGAAGGAAAGAGGATTGCGTTGAAGAATGGGCCACCAAGCTAATTTCATTTATGCTATTTTGGTTCTGGCCCACAGAAATATGGAATTTTGGGTAACATCAGGTGCCATAAAAGTCTGAAACAACTATGGAGCATAATGGAACTTGCTAGAACAGTTAGCATTTTTTAATTGTTCCACCGCCAAAAATAGCATTTCGTAGCCTCTTAAGTTAAGGTTTTAATTAAAATGCAAACAAATGTAATATTCTAAGGGGAACTGTTGTGCACTGATAAGCATGTTTATGCAATCAGCAAAGTTGTAGTTTGTGTAGTTTAATCCTTTAAAAGTGCGTGGTCCCTGGTGGTAAACATGAAATATCTCCACTCTGCAGGTACTATATTCTTCTATAAAATGTACAGCAGTGGTTTATTTGCTAAACAATGAAATGTAGTAAGTCACATACTAAATTGCAAAATATAGGCACACTTGAGCAGATTTGGCAAAAATCTCCAACTATAGTCAAAGATATTCAGTTTGCAGTTGCGTACTTAGGGGGGGTGGGAGGGGCGGTCCGCCCTGGATGCCACTGGTTAGGGGGTTCCTCGGGGAGCACGTTGACAGGGGCAGCATTTTGACAGGGGCAGCATTTTGACTCTTGGGCTCCTCTTCATCATGCAAAATTCTGCCCCGTGTATTTGTGCATGGTGAAGAGGGACCCAGGAGTCATCTTGCACCCTCAAGTAGCAGCAGCATGTCTTTTCCTCTTGTGAACCGCGAGAGCATTGTCACTGGTTGCTATAGCAACGCTCCACGAGGCACGCAATCCATGCCGGAGCATTGCCATGACAACCCATGGCAATGCTATCGCGGCTTCAACATGAAGCAAAAATATATATGGAAAGACCTTTATTAAATAGCGGATTTTTGGGGGAGACATTGCATGTTTAGTTCAGGTAGCTTAGAAAGATGGGTTATTTGCCATAAAATCTTCCAATCTTCCATGATGTTTCAACTAATCCCTCCACATTCTGCTAATGTTATACCATGAGGAGGTGTGCATATCTTACCTGGTCAGGGAGTGTGTACAGTACCTGGCTAATACCCATGGGAGGAACTTGTCTTTGCTTTGTTATATAAGAGATCCTGTATGCATCCTTTATTGGAAAAGTCATGGGTGTTTTTTTTTTCATAAGAGGCCATGCTTGTTGCATCAAACCTGAACAGAGGAACTCAGCAGGTAGCAAGGCAGGAACTCAGCAAGATCAAAATCATGATGTAGGTGAATGCAGGAATAGAGGATACAGGTTGGCCGGAACTCATGATTGCAAGAACATTGGGACAACGCTGCCTGGAGATGCAGTACACAATACCAGGCAGAACTTAGTATCTGTGGCTCTCCCATTGACATAAGAACTAAATAAAATCCATTGGGTTTTTAATTAGTTTTTTGGACTTTCAGAGCAAATATGTGCCCCTTAGGGAGCATATGTGAAACCATGAAGTTTTTTACAGGTAAAATGATAATAGTAGAATAGAATATACACATATTTGCTTCCTAAAGGTTGTGAAATATAAAAAAGGTCTCTTTGAGGATGAGGTACATATAGTGTTTTTTATGATGTACCAGCAGTGAGGTGGTCGCAGACACACTGTGGGCTTATGCATTAATACTGACCATCCAACCATGCATACACCATGCAAGACAGCACTGCTAACAGCAATAAATGAGCTACAGTGAGGGGAAAAAGTATTTGATCCCATGCTGATTTTGAACATTTGTCCACTGACAAACAAATGATCAGTCTATGATTTTAATGGTAGGTGTATTTTAGGGGGTGCAAAAAAGACATGGATTCTTTTCTTCAATCCATGGGGAAGATGCGAGCTGAACTGACAGTGCAGCTACATCTAAGGTGTGACACATTACCTACCTAGCTGAGACAGTTTGCAGAGGGATTAATGGAGTGTGTGTGTGTATATAAATACACACACACACATACATACACTTTTTATAACTGCCCCCTACTTTTGTCCCTGGCCCACCATTTGCCCCCCCCCCAAAAAAAAATTAATCCTAGAGACGCCGCTGCGGGGTCCCTCTTTATTATACATCCTGCTATAGCCACCCACCACCAAGGAGATGTGTCCCCCCTTCCTGGCCAGAGGTAGGTGGGAAATAGTGTGATGTGTGTGTGGATGCAGTGTGAGTGTAGTGCATGTAGTGTGTAGGGATGCAGTGTGTGTGTTTTGGATGCAGTGTCTGTTTGTGTAGTGCATGTACTCTGTATTTTTGTTGTCTGGGTAAGTGTTGGGGGGGGGGGTTAAATTAGTTGGGCTTATTCCCCCCTCCCTACCTTTTGTCTGTGGAGGGAAGAGGGGAATAAGCCCAGCCAATTAAAAAACTGATAACCCCTTTTCCCCCAGTACTTATCCCACACAACAGACACTGCATTCACTACACAAACATCCACTGCATCCATTTTTTTCCCCTCACTACCTTTGTAGTTATTTTGGGTTAACCCCTTAACGAGTGTATTCCCTTAGCTTCCATTTCTCTGTTTTCTTCTTCCACTGCATCCACTATACAAACACACTGCATCCGCTATACAAAAATGCATACTACATGCACTACACACATGCACACTACACAAACACGCTCACTACACGCACTACACAAACACGCACACTACACAAACATGCACACTGCATCCACTACACACAGTACATCCACTATAAAAACGCACACACACTGTGTACCTGTCTATCTGCATGTGTATCTGTGTTTGTTTGCATCTGTGTATTTGTATGTATGTCTGTATTTGTTTGTGTGTCAGTGTTTGTATCTGTATATGTCTTTGTATCTGTGTGTCTATGTGCGACTGTGTGGTTGTGTTTATGCATGTGTGTACCTGTGTTATTTTGTATCTGTATGTGTGTTTGTATCTGTGTGTGGCTGTGTGTCTATGCATCTGCATGTGTGTACCTATATGTCTGTGTATATGTATGTGTGAGTATGTATCTGTGTGTAGCTGTATGTCTGTGTATCTGCATGTGTGTCAGTGTGTGTGTCTGTGTATCTGTCTGTCAGTATGCATCTGTATGTCTATATATTTGCAAGTATATCAGTGTGTGTATATATATATGTGTGTGTGTGCCTGTATGTGCATACATCTCAGCATCTTGCCAACACTACACACAAATACACAGGGGTCAAGTCCTGGGGAAAAAAGTGTGGGAACTCACCCAAGATTCCCTTTTTAAAAAAAAATTACACTCCTATGCATATAATGCAGTGCAGGGTGTGTATAATGAATGTAGTGTGTTTGTAGTGAATGCAGAGTGTGTATAATGAATGCAGTGTGTTTTTAGTGAGTGCAGAGTGTGTACACTGAATGCAGTGTATGTAGTATGTTTGTAGTGAATGCAGAGTGTGTATAGTGAATGTAGTGTGTAGTGAGTGCAGAATGTGCATAATAAATGCAGAGTGTGTATAGTGAATGCAGAGGGTGTATAGTGAATGTAGTGTGTTTGTAGTGAGTGAAGAGTGTGTATAATGAATGCAGTGTGTGCGTGTGCGCGCTGGATGACGTGTGTGTGAGTGCTGGATGATGTGTGTGCGAGTGCTGGATGATGTGTGTGCGAGTGCTGGATGATGTGTGTGTGTGTGTGTGCTGGATGATGTGTGTGTGTGTGTGTGCTGGATTATGTGTGTGTGAGTGCTGGATGGTGTGTGTGTGTGCTGGATGATGTGTGTGTGAGTGCTGAATGATGTGTGTGTGAGTGCTGGATGATGTGTGTGTGAGTGCTGGATGATGTGTGTGTGTGTGCTGGATGATGTGTGTGCTGGATGATGGGTGTGTGAGTGCTGGATGATGGGTGTGTGAGTGCTGGATGATGGGTGTGTGAGTGCTGGATGATGGGTGTGGGGGGGAGCATTTTTTTAAACTTTATGTGTCTATATTTTTTTTATTTTATTCCCCCCTCCCTGCTTCTTACCTTGTCAGGGAGGGGGGAGATCGCCTGGTGGTCCGGGTGGAGGGAACCAGCCGCTGCACAGAGGGGCCATCACACGCTGTGTTCCCTCTCCAGCTCTAACTCGCCTGTGCGGAGCGTTGCCATGGTAACAGCCGCGGGTCTCGCGAGAGTTATAGCTGGAACACAGCGTGTGCTGGCCCCTCTGTGCAGGTAGCAGGGCCGGTCCTGCAGGACAGGTAACGGGAACGGCGTTCCTGCTTTGGAAAAAGTGCAGGAACGCCGTTCCCATGCGTTCCTGCAGGACTCGAGCCCTGCAAATACACCAATACATCCCTGTATACAAACCTCAACACTACATACAAACACACCTAAGTATTAAAACACCACCATTATATATAAACACACCACTGTATTAATAAAAAAACACTACACACAAATGCAAGCCTGCATTCAAGTGCCAACACTACATGCAAACACACTTCTACATTCACTCACATACTCCACACAAAAACATGTTTACATATGCATTTAACCCATCTTCCTATACCTCAATGACACAATGTTGATCACAATTCATATGGAACTGGGCTTCTGCAAAAAAACTTTTTACTGTGCATTTGTTGCTCTCTGTCGGGGCAAAAATAAAGAATTTAAAAAAAAAACATGCCTACATTCAAACACACAAGCACACATTAAAAACATTTTGCGTTTTCTTTCTTTAAATTTTAAAGTTGTGGTACTGTGGAAGATAAGATGCTTAGTACAGGCATTGGGTGGCAGGTTGTGGCTCTAATTAAGTATTAAACAAAGGGGTTGTTCCATGGAAATCTTGAGAGAAGTGAGACTTTCCTACACTATGCAAGCTCAGTCAGATATAGAAAAGTCATGGGAACAAATTATGTCCAGAGACCTCCATAGGCTCACACTGATCGTCCAAAACTTTTAGGTGCCAAATTTGCTTCTTATCAGAGATTAGGTTACCAAATGTAACAGTCCCAATGTAAAATATAGATATCAGCTTTGATATTCAAAAGTATATGTTTTGGTTCCTCATAAGCCTTTAACTCTTTATACTCTTCTTAAAGACTTGTTGGCTCTCATATTGTGGCTGTAATTCTCTATTATAACTAAAAAGTAAACCAGCAGAAAAATGTATTTTTATACTTGGGTATTTTAGCTCAACAGCACGCAGCTTGACATTTAATGAAAGCACATTGTCCCTGAGGTATGGTCCTTCAGTGAACATATCTCCTACCATCTGTTCAATGTTGCAAGAGCCTCCATTATCTCAGTATTACGTACAACTGGGTTTGCCGGGACTTCCAATTCCGCATTTTAAATTCAGATGATTATGAAAGATTCATATTGCAGGACTGCCCTGAATGTTACGTTTAAATGTATATGTAGATGTGAACATGATTTATCAATGTTAAGGTCACGCATTAAAAGCGTTCCACGTCTAAGGCAATCCCTAGTGAAAATGTATAAATACAGAATTCTCTCATTTCACACAGAGCCTTATGCTTGCTTATTTTACAGGAAGGCATTACCCATATGGTTTTCAAATTCCATCAGGTATACATTACATTGAAAAGTTAAAGGTATGTTGTTTAGAGAAAAAGATAGATTAGATACTAACCACAGGGGACCGTGTTGTCAAATAACTCATCTGGATAATACATTGCTCTTTAATACTTTTGATTACCTAGGAATAATGTACATTCTCTGTCTGAAAAGATGACTTTTTCACCTTTAAAAA